TCAGTTGAATATAGTGGATTAAGACCTCGTTGGAGAGAGGCGAAATCACCTTGACGGGTGGACTGGAGTAGTTTGAGATCAAACGAACCAGGATAAAAATATCTTGTTCATTGCATTAAGTTTCAGTTTTACAATTCAACCCCCCCCTTCTTGTGTTTTTCACTTCTTCACATATTTAGTCGAGTATTAAATATTCCTGAGTATACCAGTCGTGTGAGGGGTAAGAGATTCGGGGTGACTCAAACTTCTTTGGGTAATCATCAAAAGAAGAAAGGTCATAGCAATAAAGAAGTGATAAAAGAGTTAGAAAAATTAAAAGCTAAAGTTTGTGAGTTGGAAAAGGAAAAATAAAAATACATGTCAGAAAGGCAAGGGTCAGGGTTCAAGGATACTAGTGACAAAGATAGTATCAATTGTGATTTCCAACAGAAAATTCCCGAGGTAACATATATTATTATGAATTAGCACAATTTTTTTAATTGACATATATAAACATTAACAATTTCATATTTATTATTGGTTTAGGGTATTTCACCTTCTCAGCTATATTTATCGTCACCGACTTATCACATGGTTGTTAAGGGAAAAGTGCATAACACCTTGGAAGAAGTACTTCACCATAAACCGATCCCTGCTGGATTTTTGAAAGTATCAATTGAAATTGCTATAGAGAGGGATCCTCCATTACCGTTGTCTGACGATATTTTAGATGCAACATTGGTCGGAGAGGCAATAGGATCTTATGTTGCATGGTCGTCAAGCCTCATTTGCATAGATGATGAGGTATGTTAACATTTGCAGCGTTGAAAACTATTATGAAAACTATTACGACCATTTAACGTACATTTTTTTCATGGTAATGTTAGACTCCCACGAAATCCAAATCAAAAGATAAGGGGATTAAGCCGCAGACTGATTCAATTGCATCCAAAAAGGAGGTAAATTGATATATATTATGCATAGAAAAGGTTAATTCACGATCTTATACTTCATCTAACTTATTATATGCATTTGATCTGTAGATTCATGTTAAAGACATGCAACAAGTCCATATGAGTAACATGTCCGCACAAAAAAAGGATGTGGCAAAGTCTGCGGCTAGAAAAAAGCCTACTTCTCGGTATAGGTCGTGCCTTCAAACATTAATGGGAATTTTAGATTTGGTCGGCGGATGTGCTCGTAATATACCTATGGAGGAAGGTATTTTTGGTTTTTCCTATTACGAAACAATAAGTAGAGAGGATGTGGATCAAATTCTTAAACATGAAGAATTAGGTATCGATGTTGTTAATACATACATAAGGTATTCTCCGATCAACTTTATTTCGTTTTTATTGAACAAATAATATAATAATTTCAATGAATGGTCTTAATGTTAATGATGTTTTTATTTAAGTTTCATGTATGCCAACTTGATGTGCCCGCATCAACTAGACCAAAGATTCTCCTTCTTATCTCCAAACAATATCAACGCACTATTAATCCAACAACGACCATATGATATAAAAGAGTATTTTGTCCGTACATTTATGGCCAACAAAGATACAAAAAAATTGTTTTTTTTTCATTTAATACTGGCAATGGGTAAGATTTTCATTCAAACTTCATCTATTATAATTTTTCGTGTTTTGACGTTCTGTAGAAAGTTTCAATCTAACCTTTATTAATCTTACAGTGGACACTGGTTGTTGGTTTCGGCGATCAATCCAATAAGAGAAGTTGTATATTATTTGGGTTTGTTAGAAGGCAATTGGACAAAATACATAAACATGAAGGAGATGGTTGATACGTAAGTTAGATTGTTCTAAAACTTCATTTGTATACTTATTTTTTTTTATGTAAAATTGTTCTAAATCTTCGTTTATATTTTGTTAGGGCTATACAAATTTTTAAATCACAAAGAAATATTCAAGTACCAAAGAGTAAGGCAAATAACATTACATGGATTAGAGTACGGGTATATTTTCATAATTTTGATTATATTAGTGATGCTACTTGATAAAATAAGTTAAATCATATGAGATGATATATATTTATATATTTTTCCATGTGTAGTGTCCTCGTCAGTGCAATGGTATAGATTGCGGTTATTTCATGTTGAGGTTTATGAAAGAAACTATTCTTTTGAATCAAATAGAGATTTCATCCATGGTATGAGTTTCTAACTTATGATTTATTCTAATATATTTAACACATTTCATCTAATTAATTAGTTTTAACTCAATCATATTATGTTATATTATGTATTACTTTGATGAATACAAGTGTTCTACTTATTTGAAAGATCATTTGGACGAAATTAAGGAGGATTGGTGTCAATACATTATTGAGATGAGAATTTTATAAGGTATTCTGACACTTTCATTGATGAGAATTTTGAGTATATATAAGTTTGAGTTAATGAGATGCTATGTCGCCATAGTGTGGTAAATTGTTGCAATATTGTTGTTGTTATGTGGAAGGTTAGTTGGGATGGTATTTGATTTAAATTCAAACAAAATTTTATTTGTATGGTATGAATCGGGGGATTTTTAATGGTGAGTTATAACGGATTCTTGATTTGTTTTTGTTACATTAATTTTTAAGTGTTATATATAGCTTGGTTCTGATATATATGTCTTTGTTGGTTTTGTTTCAGGTAGGTGCATATGTAGAAGATATATAGATTCATTTAGGATTCTTCATTGTTGTGTTTGTAGAGAAGATAGTAGAGAATATAGCAGCTCTAGAAGATAATAATATGTACATTTGGTGCATATTTATTTGTTTATAAAGCTGTATATGTAAATATTTAAATTTATGTTTATATAAATTATTGAATTCTTTAAGTTGTATTTATGTATATATAAATTGTTAGATTAAAGTTGTATATATAAATATGTAAATTTGGTGCATATTTATTGAATTGAAGCTTCAAATTTATAAATTATGGTGCAAATTTGTAAGACAACACTTAAATTTTAAGTGATTATGTGTACAGGGCGCTTAAAATATAAGCTGAATATATTAAAAAATCAGTGAATATTAGACAACGCTTTAAACCAAAAAGCGCTACCTATTATGGGGAATAGAAAGCGCTTGTGAGAAACGCCGCCTAAAAGGGGACTTTAGATAGCGCTTCAAAATAAAACGCTGCCTAAAATATAAAAAATATAAAAAATACATTAGATAACGCTTTTTCTATAATGTGCCTAGCAACGCTTTTACTTTAGACGGCGCTTGAGGAAGCGTTGTCTAAAGTAAAAGCGCTGCTATAAACACACTATAGAAAGCGTTTACATTGTTAAAAGTGCTGCCTATAGGGGCTTTTAGAAAGCACTATTCAATAAAGGTGATGTTTAAGGTCTACATTAAGCAGCGCTTTCACATAGACTAAAAGCACTGCATATGGTTACAACAACGCAGGAATAGGCAGCACTTATAAGCGTTGTCTATGGCCAAAAAAAGTGTTGTCTATGTGCTTGTTTGACATAGTGGGATAGCATACAAAGTTTTACTTGCATTTGACTTTTTGTGAACTCTTGCATCATATGAACTTTTGCTAGCTTGAACTTTTGTTCTTGTCCTTTTTGAAATTGGAGGGATTTGACTTGATGATTATGGGCTTTTGCCTTTTTACTTCTTTAGAGAGATTCTTTCTAAGAAGGCGTGAACTCATTTTGACGAAGGTTTGATGAAATGGGATGATGAGATGAGATGATGATTGTGAATGGGATGATGATGATTGATGATTATTGAGAGTGAGATGATGATTGAATATTTGTAAGAAAAATTGGGAAAAAAGGTTTCAAGAGAGAATGGAGGTTTTGAAAATGGTTTGAAACAAAATGAAAGAGAAAGAGAAATAGAGCATTGAAAATGTGTTAAACGTGATTTTTGATTTCATGATTTGAGTTATGATATAAGTGTGTACGCGTTTAAAATTTTTAAACTATGTGATTTAAATCATGTTATTTTTGTTACTCGAATGATGAAGAAAATTTTAAAAAGAAATTTGAAAAATTTAATGCATAAAAAATGAGATGTTGAATTTAAAATTTTCTAAAAAATGGTACCTCTAATAGAATGAATCTTATGTGTAGAGCTGTTGTATTGCGTCTCATTCTTATCTAGCCATATTTGATAGGTCGTGTATGACTAAGCCGCCAACAAACATATTTACATATTTTAAACTTTTAATTTATTTCATTCAGATAATTTAATTATACTTTTTAAATTTGTTTTAAAAAATTATTATCCGCACGAAGCATGTGTTTCGAGTCTTTCTAATGAATGTCATATAGATACTCTTGAAAAATTATTGAACACTAGAAAAAGACCCGCTTTGTATTTCTGTTTCTATTAGAAAAACACACTTCCCTCCATCACTCTCGTCTCGTGTTTTCTCCTATTCCTTCTTCCACATTCTCCTCTTACTCCATAGCCATTCACCACTCACAGGTTTATCATTGTTCTTTACTTTCATCTCCTTCTTCTTCTGCGTACTCTACTTACTATAATCATGCAACTTTCTTCTTTTTTATTCACGTTTTTCATCTCAATTCAAGAACCTACATTATGAAAATTATACTTGTTTCGGTATTTCTTTTTAATTAATAGAATCATTTACTGTTGATTCATCATAATTACTAGGTGATTTCTTGCATGAAACAATTAATAGAATCACTTACTCTAGTGTTGATTCATCATCAAATTACATAGGCGATTTCTTGCATGAAAGAATTAATAGAATGATTTTGCGTTGATTCATCATAATTAATTTCTTGCATGAAAGAATTAATAGAATGATTTTGTGTTGATTCATCATAATTAATTTCTTGCATGTTTTCTTTATGGAACTTGAATAATATGCTTGTTTCTTGTTAAACACCATAACTAACAATCGTACTATTTTATATTTTTTGTTTTCTGCTGCGGTAATGAATGATATATATGTTGTTCTTATATCATAATCAGTTTGACATCATATTGTTCATCAAATTGCTACTGTTTTATGCAGGATGGCTGAACCTGGATTGCCATCTCAGGAAAATCCGTTACCTTTTTCTGGTCTAGTTGGATTCGATATCGGCACGTCGGAATGCAGTGTTGCTGTGTCCAATGGTTCCCAAGTCACGCTATTGAAAAACAGAATAAATCAAAAGTTTACGAAATCATTTGTCACTTTCAAAGATCAAGCCACTTCTAGTGGAGTTACGAGACCACTCTCCGACGACCTTGAGATGCTGTCTGGAGATACAGTTTTCAACATGAAACGCCTTATTGGTAGAGTTGATACTGATCCAGTAGTCCGTGCTAGTAAATATCTCCCTTTTCTCGTGCAGACTTTGGATATTGGTGTTCGACCCTACATTGCTGCGTTTGTGAACTTTGTTTGGAGAGCCACCACTCCAGAAGAAGCCCTTGCAAAGCTTCTGGTGGATTTAAAACTGATGACGGAAACTCATCTGAAAGGACCGATAAAAGGTGTAGTGCTTACAGTTCCAGTTTCCTTCAGTCGTTTCCAGCAGGCCCGCCTAGAACGTGCCTGTGGGATGGCTGGTTTTCCCACTATTAGGACGATGCCTGAACCAACAGCAGTGGCATTGTTATATGCACAGCAACAACAGAAAGCTTCTCAGAAATCTATGGGCAGTGGAAGTGAGAAAATTGCTCTCATTTTCAATATGGGTGCTGGTTTTTGTGACGTTGCTGTGACTGCTACCGGTGGAGGTAAACCTGAGATAAAAGCCTTGGCAGGAAGTACTATTGGTGGAGAAGACTTGCTTCAGAATATGATGCGCCATCTCTTACCAGATTTTGAAAATACATTCAAGAGCCGTGGGTTCAAAGAAATCCAATCAATGGCATTGCTTCGAGTTGCAGCCCAGAATGCAATTCATCAGCTTTCGTATCTAACCGGTACTGAGGTCGATGTAGACTTAGGAGATGGTTTGAAGGTATACAAGGTTGTTGACAGGGCTAAGTTTGAGGAGGTGAACAAAGAGGTGTTTGAAAAGTGTGAAAGCCTTGTCTTCCAGTGTTTACATGAAGCAAAGGTAGAAGCTGAAAATGTAAATGATGTGATAATTGTTGGTGGATGTTCTTATATCCCAAAGGTGAAGAATCTTGTTACTAATATATGCAAAGTAACAGAAGTTTATAGTGATATAAAACCTTTGGAAGGTGCCGTTTGTGGTGCAGCAATCCAAGGAGCGATCACTTCAGGTATCATTGATCCTTTAGGAAAATTGGACTCGTCAAAGATTCATGCCACACCTCTTGCCATTGGAATCCGAGCGGATGGGAACAAGTTTGTCACTATAATGCCGAGGAGCACCACATTGCCAGCGCGTAAGGGTCTACTTTTTACAACTATTCACGACAACCAAACTGAGGCATTGATAGTTGTCTACGAAGGTGAGGAGGGAAAGCAGCCCGAAGAAAATCACTTGTTGGGATATTTCAAGATAATGGGAATACCTCCAGCACTAAAAGGAGTTCCCGGAATCAGTGTGCACATGGATCTAGATACTTCCAACAAGCTGGGAGTTTTAACTGCTGTTGCGATGCCTGGAACCCATCAAGCTGCAGTTCCTGTTATGCAAGTGAGGATGCCAATGGTTGATGATGCGCATGGTTGGTGTGCTGAGGGCCTAAATAAAACCTTTGGTGACACAATGGATTTGGTCACTTTCAAAAGAGGCATAAATTGATATTTCGGGCATCTTATTGTACCTTTTTTTAGTGTTTTCCTGTGATTCAGCAACACAAGTTCATTTACAAATTACATGTATAATGTCTGTAGTATAATGGAAATAATACATACAATACTTTTTTTCTAAACCTTCCACTTCGGTTGATTCTCTAACTTTGCAATGTAATTTCTGTTAAAAGGAGGAAGCAAATAGTTAATAACTTTTTGTAACTTCTTGTAAAATAAAATAACACCTTGATTTTTATATAGATTTAAAAATTTCTACTATTTTAAGAAAGCAATAACATTAATAAATACTGTTATAACTCACTATCTTTTGGCCTTCCAACTACAATGGATTCTTAGTCTTTCCACTAATTTATTAATAGAAACTCACTAACTATAACATTAAAGTTTATTCAACAAATCTCCTTTGTAAACTTAAATGTTTCTTCTATCCATCATTCTATCAACTTCTTGTCTCTGTCGAAAATTTCTTTCGATAATGGTTTTGTGAAAATATCAGCTGCTTGATTCTTACTTGCTACATGCCTCAATTCGACACTTCCTTACTTCACATGTTCTCGAATGAAGTGGAAGCGAACACCAATGTGTTTGCTTTTTTCACGGTTTACTGGATTCTTTTCTAACTCAATTGTTGATTTGTTGTCCACTTCTATTATTGTTGCACCTTTCCGTTTTAGCTCCATTTTACTCATTAATCTTCTAAGTCATACAGCATGACAAACGCACCAAGATGCTACTACATATTCAGCTTCACATGTCGAAAGTGTTACAATCAGTTGCTTTTTAAAAATCCAAATAAATGCAGTATTTCCCATGAAGAACACATATCTAGAAGTGCTTTTTCGATCGTCTATAACTCCGCACCAATCACTGTCAGAGTAACCAACCAAGTTGTAGTCTTTTGTTTTTGAATAAAACATTCTGAATGACATTGTTCCTTGGATATACCTTAGGAGTCGTTTTAATGACTTCCAATGTGAATATATTGGCTCCTTCGTGAATCAACTTACAATGCCGACACTTAATGAAATGTTCGGCCTTGTACATGTGAGATAGGGAAGACTACCTATCAAGCTTCGATATTTTCTTACTTCGACATATTCTCCTCCATCAAATTTCAATAATTTTGCACCTGATTCCATTGGCGTCGAAGTTGGATTACAACTTTCCATCTTATATTTTTTCAAGATTTCTTTTGTATATTTTTCTTGTGAAATAAAGATTCATGTTTCTTCTTGTCGAACCTCCAGACCAATAAAGAATCTCATCAGACTTAAGTTTGTCATCTCGAATTCACGTGTCATGGTGCTCTTGAATTCTCCTATCATTTGATCATCACTGCCTAGAAAAATTAGCTCATCGACATAGAGAGCAAGTAATACATTACTTACATTTTTCTTCACATAGAGGGCATGTTCATACGGACATTGCTCGAACCCATTTTCCTTGAAATATGCGTCGATACGTGTGTTCCATGCCTACGGTGCTTGCTTCAGCCCATATAGCGCTTTCTTCAATTTCAACACCTTCTTCTCTTCTTCAATCCTCATATACCCGAGTGGTTGTTCGACATAGACTTCTTCTTCGAGTACACCATTCAAAAATGTTGTCTTGACATTCGTTTGAAATATCGGCCATTTGAATTGAGCAGCTTGAGAAATGAGCAATCGAATTGTCTCCATTCTCGCAACAGATGCAAATACTTTGTCATAGTCGACTCTTGCTTTCTGTTTGTATCCCTTCGTAACAAGTTGCGCTTTGTATCGTTCTATTTCTCCTTGAGCGTTCATCTTTTTCTTGAATACCCATTTTACACCAATGGGTCGACTACCTTTTAGCAATTCGACTAGCTCCCAAGTGTTGTTGCGGTCTATTGCTCTAATTTCTTCGTCCATGGCATTTTCCCCTTCTTGTCTCGTAGTGCTTCTTTGAAACTTATGTTTTCAGCATCTGCCAGAAGGCATACAAGGTGTATCTCATTTGTCGAATCATACAAATCTTGCAAACTTCGCATTCTGAGTTGTAGAGGTTCATCTTCATTTTCAGAATCTTCATGTTCTGTCGAAATGCTTGTTGGTACAGTGATAGATGATTCTTCGACTTCGTCGATAACTTCTGTCGATTTGTTTGAGTCCCTCTTGCTCTCTTCGTTTATTCGAACGTCTCTACTCACTACACCTTCTTGCTTATAGGATCGAATAACTTGTACCCTTTTGTCTTCTCATCATATCCAATAAATATGTACTTTTGACTTTTGTCTTCTAGTTTCGTTCTTCGTTGATCTGGTACATGTGCATAAGCTACACTACCAAATACTTTGAGATGAGAAATTTTTGGTTTCTGTCTGCTCAATGCTTCTTGTGGTGTTTGATCTTCTAACTTCGAATGTGGACATCGATTCTGAACATAAACAACACATTGTACAGCTTCTGCCCAAAATTCTTTCGACATGTTCTTGCTCTTAAGCATTTATCGAATCATGTCAAGAATAGTCTGATTCTTTCTTTCAGTCACACTATTTTTCTGAGGTGAATATGGTGCAATTAGGAATCTCCTTATGCCCTGCTCTTCATAATACTTCATAAAGATTGTCGAAGTATACTCACCACCTCTGTCAGATCGAACTGCTTTGATGTGTCTGTCAGTTACTTTTTCCACCATTACTTTGAACTTTTTGAACACCTCTAATGCTTCAGATTTTTCTTTTAAGAAATAAACCCATGTCTTTCGTGAGAAATCGTCGATAAAGGAAATGAAGTACCTTTTGCCACTGAAAGATTCCGGAGTGATTGGTCCACATATGTCGATATGAATCAATTCGAGAATATGTTTAGCTTGATATTCTGCCTTCTTTTGAAATGAGGTTCTTGTTTGTTTGCTAAGAACACATTCTTCACAAAGCTTTCCTTCATAATCCATTCCAGGTAGTCCGTGCACCATGTTCCTTTTCGCCAACTTTCTCAAACCAGCATGATGTAGATGACCAAAGCGTAGATGCCATAGTGACGCTTTGTCTTGCATGTTGACTTGTAGACATTTCTATCGAACATTCCTTAGATTCAGTTTGTACATTCGATTTCTTTCCATTTCGACACGAGCGATCAGATGTCTCACTTTGTCCTTCTAATGTAGTATTCAATCTTTTATAAGTATCGAAAAACATTTTTCTGTAAGTTGTCCCAAACTCAATATGTTGGTCTTGAGATCTGGTACATAATAAACATCTTGGATTGATCCAATCAAGTCAACCATCTGTAAGTAACAGATTGTACCCTTGCCTTCGACCTTCACTTTCGATGCATCTCCGAAAGACACATTACCATCTTTAATTTTTTTTCATTTTATTAAACAGGTGTTTGTGACCACACATGTGATTACTTGCTCTTGAGTCAAGATACCAAATATTGTCATTATTGGTATTGATTTTATTTTGGGCCATCAAGAAAAAACCTTTATTCTCTTCAACTTCCAAGGCTAGATTGGTTATTTCTTCTACCTTTTTTTTATTCGATAATCTTTTGCAATATGTCCCACTTTATCACAGTTATAGCATTTGTAGGAATTGCAATCCTTTGCGTAATGACCATATTTCCCACACTTGTAGCATTCGAAGTTGGAGTGGTTCGACCAACCACCTCTTTGACCACGTCCTCTGCCACGCCAATTTTGCTGGTTCGACTGTCCTCTCTCAAAGGTGTTACCTCGACCACTTCGACCAGTGTCTCGACCTACACGGCCACGTCCTCTTCCTCGAGAGTTTTGAGAAAAGAGTACCTTTTCGTCTTTGATCGAATCCTTGGTTTGGTTTGCTTTCTCGACTGCTTCTTCCTTCTTTTTCATCTTACGTTGTTCATGTGCTTCGAGAGAACCAGCGAGCTCTTTAACTGAGAGCGTCGAAAGGTCCTTCGACTCTTCTATTGCACACGCAATATTCTCAAATTTATTTGTTAAATATCTCAAAATCTTTTCAACAACTCGTGCATCAGTTACTGTTTCGCTATTTCTGATGAATTGGTTCACCACCTTTTGTACACGTGTGATGTAGTCAGATACAGTTTCTGACTCCTTCATTTGCATCCTCTCCAATTCTCTACGAAGAGTTTGGAGTCGAACTTGCTTCACTCGGTCTGCTCCTTTGAACACTTTCTCTAACGTGTCTCATGCTTCTTTCGACGTAGTCGAACCAGCAATCTTTTCGAAGCCTGATTCGTCAACAGCCCTGAACAACGTGTATAATGTCGTTTATCCTTCGATCGTGTCTCTTTCAACACCTTGTTTTGAGCTGTTGTATATCCCGCAATATTTGTTGGTTCTTCAAACCCATCTCTGGTCACCTCCCACGCGTCTAGAGATCCAAGAAGAGCTTTTATTTGGATATTCCAGTTTTTGTAATTTGACTTTGTTAGTCGTGGCAACGACATTTGATTTATCATGTTTGTCATTAGCTTTAATGTCAATTTGTTAAAAGGAGGAAGCAAATACTTTATAACTTCTTGTAACTTCTTGTGAAATAAAATACAACTTTGGTCTTTATATAGACTCGAAAATTTCTACTATTCTATGAAAGCAATAACATTAATAAAAACTATTATAGCCCAATATCTTTTGGCCTTCCAACTACAATGAACTCTTAGTCTTTCTACTAACTTATTAATAGAAACCCACTAATTATAATATTAAATATTAAAGTTTATTCAACGATTTACGACTCTCACTTGATTTCTAATACATGTATAATGTTTGTGATGTAATTTTCTTAATGCTGTTAGTTAAATCATTTTAGTTTTATAAGTGGTATTTACCAACCATTTATGATCTTTATCACTCTCATGCATTATCTTTAATGCATAAAACAAAGAAAGAGATGAAAAAACAAAAGCAATTCTAAAGGAATCTCAAGTAAGTCAAATCATTCATTTGAGTAGTAACATGTGAATGCTGAGTCAGCAAGGCATTATTTTCACTCTTGTAAGGCACCCTAGTGTAACAGGTGGCTAGCTGAGAACAAAGCCGTGTACATGTGTGTCTTGTTAGATACTCTTAAAAAGGTTATTGTACTTGCTTGAAATGCAAGAGGAATAAGAAAGACCTATGTGTCAAAACAGGAAACCTTCCAAATGATTTATAGGTACCTTCAGCCACAAGCCACTCTTTAGTGAAAGAGAAAATTTATACACCAATAGAGGCTTCTTTTTTCTACTTTTTCAGTGATGAAAGTGTGAGATTTAAAGCTGATTGGTGGAGTGTTCCCTTAGGAATAAAAGGTTTGAAAGTGACATTATACCTTACAACATATATTAATGTCATCATTGGCCTACAATGGAATGTGAAAATGTCCCAAAACATGAATATTTTTACCCTTGTTTAAGCAAAGGCTATATATATAAGAGTTTTGTTTCTGTTTCTCTCTTAACCTCTTCTTAGTATAACCTTCTTCTTCTTCACTACATTACATGAGCCACACCCTTTTCATCAAATGGGGTGGCTTCAATCCCTCTTCTCTCCATTGAAGAAAGTTTGGTTCAAGTTGCATTCAACTCAAAAGAAGAGTATGTTCATGAAACTTTCCAAACCTTGCACTGTCCATATTCTTTGTTATTTTCTTCGTTGTTCAATCAAAAACCATTCTTTTTTTACACAATCATTCTTTCTTTTTTTTGCAGGAAGAGGGATATACATTCTATATGAAGATGTGAAATCATGCCCCTATGAAGATGTGCAAATCCTCTGGTCAATACTAGTAGAATCACATGCACCTTCTATCTCATCGCGAAAATGAAGATTACAACATAGTTGAGAAGAGGCTCGATGTAATAATGTATATAAAATATTTAGAAATCATCACATTATCCATTGCTTTTTTACAATTTTCTTTTACATATTCCCTACTCTTTTTTAATACTTGATTTATTCTCTTTATCTTTCTTTTTCTTTTTCCTTTATGTCATCCATTTTATTTTCGCTTCTCTTTCTCCCCCTTGTTAATCATATAGAAGTTGAGTGCAAGAAATGGATATAGAAACTTATCTTCTTTTACTTTATTTTTTTCCTTTTAACTTTTGTAACATTTGTCTTTCTTTGAATTCTGTGTCTTATAAAGCATCTACTAAGTACATATTTTTTTCCCTTTTCTTTAATGCATTCCATATTTTAGAAAATCTGTGTGTAGGGTAAGTAGTTTGTAGTTTTTCAAAAGAAGTCATTGTAAGGCTTTCTATTGGTAAGATGTCTACTTTAATGTGTTGAGATAGTAGTTTTTGCTGTTCCTTAGTTTTCTTTATTGAAATTGAGAGTGAAAGCTATTTTGGAGTAAATAGAACAAACTAGCTACGTATACAATAAATAATATATTTTTGCTGTAACAAAATGGAGTTGAGGTAATGTGATGCTATAAGTTGATCATATGATGCTAAAGTTTAGATATTCATGTGCAGAGTATACTATTCTATATTCTATAAATGTTTATTGAGCTCTGATTTGTTTCTGTCTGTAAAGAAATGAAATGGCATTATTGAGTAATGTTTCTATTTAGTCACTAGTTTACCTATGGCATCAATAACAATGGTAAAGCAATATCATAAAGGAATATTCCTTATACAAGAGATTAGATAACTCAACTCTAAGAGCAATTTAATAATGGTTTCCTTTTTCATGCAAACAGTTCACACTCTTTAAGTTAAAGTATTAACTCTTGCTATTTGTACTTTGTTAGTACCCTCACTAGTAATTTGTAAAGTATCGCACTTTTTTTTGAGAGGTTTATAATTGGAGACTCTAAAACATTCATTTTGTCATAATGATGTTTTTAATTTTTCAATCATATTGAACTTTCTTTTTTGTTCTAAATCGATCCCATCAATTATAGGTTTATTTATAGCAAATCCATCACTGACCATTGGGATAAAAGGTCGTTTTCGATCCCATCTCATACAACAAAATCATAAGATATATAGATTTTCACTTTTTTTTTTCTAATAGAAATATCCTTCACCTCTAAAAATCAGAGTTTAATAGAGTTTATATACTCTCCTTTTTTTTCTTTCAATTTTAGCCTCGGCAGTCACAGTTTTGAACTACTAATGCATCAACAGAGGAAATTTCACAATCTACCACCAGAAGCATCCTTCCAATGATGTGTTTTGACAGATTTGGAAACAGAAATATTGAAAAACTCCCTCCAATAAATTACCTTAATGGAATTATCTGTCACCATTTACTAGAAACGAAGGTAGCTTTTCCATTGGATTGATAAAGAGTTACTTTATATTCATTCATGTAACAAGCTAAACAATCCAGGTGATCGAATACAACATAACATGAATTGCTATCATATCAATATAACAATGACCGGTAAGTTGTTGGCATTACTTATTAGCTTACACAAAATAGGCTTTCTCATTCAATCATACAACAAACGGTTGAAATGTTTTTATTGCACCGTGATAATATTGGAGTGATGGCTTGCATACCAGAGCAACCAGACTGCTGAGAATCTGAATAGTTGATTTAACAACAGTTTGGGTTGGTATTATTTCCAGTGAACCAGAGTAAATCACAGATAAACTGGCAGTCCCTGAAAAAAGGATAGGAACGACGTGATGTGATATTAAAATTGATCATATGACATATGATGCTAAACTGGCAGTCCCTAAAGACAATTTAAATGAGGCGTCGAGTACCATTGTGTGCATGTTGTGTCGTAACCATAACAAGTATGTTGGAAAATTTTCCTGTGATGGCCTTGGCCAAGTGCCAGCTTTGAATAAAACATATGAAGCAACCCCGGAAAATACATAAATCAAAAACTGATGATGCATCTACTAACATATTGTTGTATTTTCACAAAACTCAACTAAATGAAAATTTATCATCATGTTTTCTAATCACATTTTCTAATACTTGCATATTCATTCTGTCAATAGTACTACTGTCATTTTTTACCATATGAAGGAAAGTAGCAATTTCTTATATAATGCATGACCATGACTTTATAAATTTGGATGCTCTTATCAACATTGGGAGCACCAAAACTCATAAGTCGTAACAATAACACAACACATAATCACATCCATTAGAGAGAGTATGCATAGTCTTATCACAAGGAATGTTCAACTAACATGTTGCCGGTAGATGATTGATCATTTATATTGTATTTCCGAGATTGATGACATGACTTTAGTTTAGGGTCAGTACCTTAAAGAAAGTTTGAGAAGGGATAAGTTGGATATGAAACTGTATAATGAACCCAATCCCATATTTATTCCACTCCTAATTTAAAAGGGATATCAAACTGACACTTAGCTGTAAATGTTTGTCATAGATCTATGGATCATGAATGCCCCCGTGAACAAAGACATTATGAGCAACGAAGTATAAGGTCCACACTCCACCAATTATCAAGCAAATACCGACTGAAAAAAATGTTACTGAAATTTTTGGCTGTAGTAAATTGGTTTACAAAACTCACTTGTGATGATGTCACATAAATACATTATATGAAAGCCTGTCTAAATTTTCCATTCATCAAAAGAATAATTTTGGTTTTTAACTAGCATGGACACTAAAATGGAGATGCAACTACGGCCAGGAATATATTGCAATCCAAGCTATCATACAAACTGCAAATACATGATAGATCTTACAGAGTTATAAAGCTGCCGTAGAGAGGTGCTTAGGGACACTTTGCAGCCAATCTTCAAAATAGGTCTGACTATCTACATCCGCACGAGAGAGACCAGCAAGAGGAGTAACAGTAATCTTTAAAATGAAAAAATGAAATTGTTTAGCATGAGTTTATTCTTTTAACTTAAGCACACACGCACACATACACACTCACATAGCCCTCCTTCAAAGATTTGTGATCCGTATCATCATGATCAAGTACAGAACCTCGTATCTACAAAAGTTAAAAGATTACTACATCATTAATCATTGGAGAAAGAGGATGCGAGGGGGATTATGAAATGTCTGTCCAAGTAAGATTGTTTAGTATTCCATATAACTTAGCATATATTTCAGAAGTCAATAAAACTGAATACTTAAAATCTTCACTATCCTCTGTTTGTAGTTAGTCCAATAACATCATATTGCATTGCACAATATTAAGCTCATCTAAAGATATTTTACAATATGCTAGATACAAATGAAATATTGAGACTAATTAAATAAAAAGAAAAAGGAAAAGAACCTACCTCTCTGGCAAATAAAAGATGTTCAGGTGATGCAGATGATGCGCCAATAGTTTTGGGTGTATCCGTTTCTGTGTTGGACATATCAGATGACATTATTCGTCCTTTTGTCTCAGAGGTGACTTCTCTCCATCCCATCTTAAAGAAACTTTTACCCTGCCTAGTTAGCTTGTAACCCTTTTCAGATGCACGGACGACAATCGAGAAATTAGTTATAAGAAAATTGCATGACAAAGCAGTATATTCTTGTAGCAAAGTCAGCGATAACAAGCCTTTGCATAAAATAGTAAACTTCAATACATAGGATATAAAAATACACGAGACAGATAATTAAAACAAAATCTCGACTACTCAAGACTTTAAAGATAATAAAGCAAAATTTAACTGCATTTTTTAACAAGGGCAGCCCACAGTACAACATTTCCAATGTTGTGGGAGCATTGGAAAGGTCGGATGTGCACACCCCATAAGTAGAGAGGCTGCATCCACAAGTAGTCACCCTTTTGCATCAATTTATGATGTGGTAGTATATGTTGTCATTGATATCACAGAAGTTTTTTGTTTTCAGAGTCAAATCATGTTTATCCAAAACAACAAATTCTACAATATTAATTACACACGAGACTGCATTTTCTTAACCAGTTTACAAGTAGTCTTTTGTAATCACCAGATAAGTCAAGTCAACTCCTTTCAAAAGAGGAACAATAGGCACCAGTCATTGGGTATAACTATAACAGGTTCATGAAGGCAAGGCAGCATTCTAGCTGACACACAAGATTATATTTGACAAATTCTGGAGTTTACTGGAAAACAAGGCACAATAAAACTTGGCTAGAAAGTAATCAATTTTCTTCAGTTTGCCTAATCCAGTGCTCTTAATAACAGGACTGTAGTTCTAAGATAATTTCTGTAAAATTACCTAAAATATCAATAAAATATTTAAAAAAGTTATTCCGGAGGAAATCATCTAAGAACCAACATATATTTTTAATATATCCCCCTATCATGTATTATGTTCTTTCCATCACAGCATGAATTAATGTGATGCTAGTCCATCAAACTCAGCTATTTAGCCGTATATCATAGAATCATATATAGTAATTTATCACAAGTTAAACATATACAACAATATGAACAAGAACAACCACCAATCGTTTTCCTACTTGGTGAGGTAGACTACAAGGACGATTCAATGCCACAATTTACTACCATGTATATCAAATTAAGAGAACCATTAAACATATAAGTTGCAAAACTAATTACAATATACCTTATGGTCAGCAACATTGTTTGGCACGTCTATATTCAAAAAACATTTTCCAGGGTAACTTCGATTCTTTATATCAACCAGTACAACATTAATGATTGGAATGCAAACTTCTGCAGCTAGGGCAAAGTCACGTGGGTTACTCTTTCCTTCAACCCTGGACATAGAATAGGCTTCAAATGGTGAAACAAGATAATGAAAAGCTATGGACGTTGAAAGATATAGATTAAAGATTATTGGAAAAACTTATAAAGCCAGTAGTAAGGCATAATATTATTACTCAAGACATTCATTCACTCAGTTATCAATTACAATTATAATCTAATAAATTGGTTTCAAATTTTAAAACGGAACAAATATTCAAGATAGATCCAGCAATATTGCCAAATAAACATGTTGTAAATATACCACTCATATGAAATGGAGATAGAAGGGATATCATTGAAGAAGGCTTCCCGAGCTCCAGCTACAGTGCCTGAGTAAACACTGAAAGGGAATTAGACATAACAGGGTACGGACACGAATTTCTTTATGATGGTGATAACTACAGACGCAAGTTTAGCAAAAAAGAAATATTGAGCAAATCATACAAGTGGAAATGGAATCATCATCATCATCATCTATTGGTAGCTTAGGATGATAGTTCTTTGTCATTTGAAATGAATAGAAAAAATTTCAATGTCTTGATCAATGGGAGAGATTGTAAGCAATGCAAATTATTTGTTTGTGGACATGTCATAAGATTGTTTTAAAATTACAAGTGTATTTAAACAGTAATAATATAAGTGCTTATGTGATGAGATAAAAGTAGTAAATAAAGTCTTGTATAAAGATGTATTAGAAAAGAAGAATAGAGAAGAAGAGAGTATTCATCTATAACAGAATTATGTTATTTTGTTTTTCTGATTTTTCAGTTAGTTACAAAAAGGCTCCTTGATGCTTTATATACAACATTAAGGGTAACCTGCTATTACAGGTTAGGGCATACTGTTAACTTACAGTTGCCAGTCAAGGGAATAACAGTAAAGCTACTTATACATTCAATTTGTTTGGCCAGAACCTTTTCCCTCACAAAGAAAAGATCAATCTCCATATGCTTAGTTCTGGAGTGCAAAACAGGATTATGAGCTAATAGGACAGCTGACTGATTATCACACAGAATAATGGGAGGCTTGGTTTGAATACGCAGTTCCTGCAAAAGTGTTTGTATCCAAAAAGAAGGTCAGCTGTAGCCTGAGCTAAACTTCTGTATTCAGATTCCGTGCTGGACCTAGCAACAACAGGCTGCTTCTTTGACCACCAGGCAACTAAATTAGTTCCAAAGAAAATAGCAGCACCAGATGTACTGCGCCTGTCATCTGGATCTGAAGCCCAATCAGCATCACAGTAGACATGAAGAGAGGGAACAACCTGAGGGGAAAGAGGAGTGAGAGATAAACCATGATGTAGAGTACCTTTCAAATATCTGAGAATCCTTTTGACAGCTTGCCAGTGAGAATCAAGAGGATGTGACATAAACTGACATACTTTGTTGACAGCATAGGTCAAATCTGGTCTGGTGATGGTGGCATACTGCAAGGCACCAACCACAGACCTGTACAGAAAAGGATCAGAAAAGGCTGCAGACCCAGTTTTGGTGAGTTTGCAGGTGGACTGCATGGGAGTGCTGACAGAGCAAGCTTCCAACATGTTGGTTTTCTGCAGCAAATCTCTGAGATACTTAGTTTGGGTGAGGAGCATAGAGCCATTAGCTGACTGCTTAACCTCAATGCCCAGAAAATAGTCAAGATCCCCAAGGTGCTTGAGAGAGAAAACAGAGTTAAGCTTTTGAATGACCTCTTGGAGAAGAGTAGTAGAGCTACCTGTGAGGATAATATCATCCAAATAAACAAGTAGATAAAGGGAGTGTCCTTTGGAGAAGTAGGTGAAGAGAGAGGGATCACACTTGCTGGCTTTAAAATTGAGCTTGAGAAGAGTTGTTTGCAGTCTCTCAAACCACTGCCTTGGAGCCTGTTTCAGGCCATACAAAGCCTTATTGAGTTTACACACCAGAGAAGAGTCAGGGTGAACAAACCCTAGAGGTTGTTCCATGTAAACTTCTTCAGTAAGGAGACCATTAAGGAAGGCATTATTTACATCCAACTGCTGAATAGACCACCTGTGGGTAATGGCAATGGTGAGAATAACCCTGATAGTAACAGGCTTTACAACAGGGGAAAAGGTTTCAGTAAAGTCCAGCCCATGCCTCTGATGGAAACCTTTGGCTACCAACCTGGCCTTGTATCTGTTGATGGTGCCATCAGGATTTTATTTGAGCCTGAACACCCACTTGCAGCCAATAACATTTTTGTGAGGAGGTAAAGGCACAAGGGACCATGTGACATTTTTCTGTAAGGCATCAAATTCATCTTGCATGGCTCCCTTCCAATGCACATCAGCAATGGCCTGTTTAACAGATTTAGGCTCAGAGTGAGTGAGAAGCACCCTAGGATCCAGTCTAGGCTGAGAAAATCCAGACTTGGCCCTAGTAATCATAGGATGAGAGTTTTAAGGGATAACAGGCACTGGAATAGCATTAAGGGGAACAGAAGATGCAGAAGCAGTGTCTGAAGATGAGCTGAATGAGGAGTCAGCAGGACTAGAGAAAGATGAAAGTGGCCCTAGAGAAAGATGAAAGTGGCCCTGGGGAGTTGCTGGCAGTAATTGGTGAAGAAGTTGCAGAACTACCAGCTGAGGATGAATCCTTAGGGCTAGTAGGGACAAAAATGGGAGCAGGAACAGAGGAGGTAGTGGGAGAGGCAGGAAGAAGAACATTTGAAGAATTAGGGATAAGAGATTGTAAGGAAGTGATGTGAGGAGTAAGAGCACTCAAAAGAGGACTAGAGTGATGGGGTGCCAAGGATGTACTGGGGCTGGAAGTATCACTGATATCACTAGGTCTGGAAAATAAGTCTAGATAAGGAAACCTAGACTCATTAAAGAGAACATCCTTGGTGATGTATAACCTGCCAGTAGGAGCCAGACACCTATAGCCTTTGTGAGAGGTAGAATATCCAAGAAAGAGGCATTCTTGAGATCTGAAATTAAGTTTCTGAGAAAGATAAGGTCTCAAGAGAGGAAAACAAGCACACCCAAAAACTTTCAGAAACTTGTAATCAGGTTGCTGATGAAAGAGAAGAGTGTCAGGAACTTCAAAGTGAATGGAAGCAGACGGCATCCTGTTAATAAGATATACAGCAGTGGAGAAAGCATAGTCCCAATATGTAAGGGGAAGGGAAGCATGACTAAGCAAAGTAAGCCCTAAGTCCACTATGTGCCTGTGTTTTCTTTCAATGACACCATTCTGATGGTGTGTGTGTAGACAGATAAGACGATGATGAATGCCCATCAGTTAGATATTTAGTAAATGGCCTGAATTCACTCCCCCAGTCAGACTGAACAACTTTAATACGTGCCTCAAGTTGCAGTTCAACCAATGCTTTAAACTTTTGAAAAACAGAAACAGCTTTAGATTTAGCTTTAAGTAGATAGATTCAAGTAAACTTGGAATAAGCATCCACAAAGGACATGTAATACAAGAAACCAGATGCAGAAGCCTTGGGTGAGGGCCCCCATAGGTCAGTATAAACAAGTTCAAGAGGTTTTGTGTAAACTGTGTGTGAAGTGGGAGCATGTAACCTGTGAGATTTACCCATACAGCAAGCAGAACAGAACATATCACAATTTTTATTACTAAACTGAACATTACAGTTTTGCAAAACAAGTTTGAGAGCATGATTGTTAGGATGCCCTAACCTAAGATGCCACATGTAAGGCAAGCTATTAGAACAAGATACAGTATTAGCACTAGGTGCAGCATTATTGGAAGAGAAATTAAAAGAATGCAGTAGGGACTTAGCAGGTTGGGACACATCAACAGAAGGAAATCCATAGAGTCCATCAGCTCCTACATGACCTTCAAGAAGAGTGGCATTAGACACCTGACATTTAACAAGGCACTTGTCAGCTGAGAATAAAAAATACACATGGTTATCCTTAGAAAACTGACTGACACTAAGCAGATTCTTAGTGATAGCAGGAACATGAAGTAAGTTCTTGAGAGTGAGGTGTGTGGTAGGATGAAAAGGGGAAGGGAAAGAGCTTGAGCCAGCAGACTGAATAGTCAAACCTTGTCCATTACCAATGTAAATTTGATCATGGCCTTCAAAGGGAGTCACATGTTGTAAGTTCTTTGCATCACTAGTGACATGGTATGAGGCGCCAGAATCAAGAAACCAGGAGCCAGATGGAGATGGAGAAACATTAGCCACAAAGGTGTTTGGAGGTGGTGTAACAGCAGAAGAGTAAGAAGGCACAGCAGGAGGCCTGGTCCACACATAAGGAGAGGCTTGAGAAGGTGCCTGTGTGTAGTAGGCATGAGCACCCTGCCAAGGAGGTTGCACATAGTTTGCACCAGCAGCTTGAAACTGATAGTTGAACCTATGTCAGCACTGCAGGGCAGAATGACCAGGTTTGGAGCAGACTTGGCACTGGACATTAGAATTGGAGAATCTGCCACCTCTGCTACGGTCAAATCTACCACGATGACCTTTTCCCCCTCTAAAAGGTTGATAATCCTGCACTTGATTAGGCTGGCCACTGTGAGCAGAGGAAGAATCAATGACAGGAGTTGGAGATTCATCTGTTGTTGATGGTTGAGCCACAGCATGCGTTAGGTTGAGAGAAACCAGATCTGGAATTGGCTGCTTCTTGAACTTGTTCAAGCGCAGTTCATGAGCCACCAGAAGAATTTCAACCTCATCAATGTCCATTACTCCAAATTTGCTTTCAACAACAGACACAACTGGAGCAAATTCAGCAGGTAAGCCCTCAAGAATTACATCAATATGATGTGACACAGGAATAGGATCACCAATGGATGCAAGCGCATCAACAATGGTACGAATCTTCAGTAAGTAGTCTTGAACAGAAAGAGTATCCAGTGTGAGCGCACGCAATTCAACACGCAGTTGGCGTGCCCTAGCACGAGTCTGTTTCTGAAAATAGCTGAAGAGACGATCCCACAGTTCATGAGAATGGTGACAGCCAAGCACGCGTGAGAGAATTTCATTGGAAAGTGTTGATTGAAGCCAGGACCACAGCATTTGGTCCTTCTGAATCCAGCGAGAGTACGCTGGATTGATAGAGCCAGAACGACGAGCAGCATCATCAACGAATTTTGCTGGAACACGAGCGCAAACTACCAGATCTGTGAGATCGTGCGCGTTAATGTAAGGTTCTACCTGTTGAGCCAGAGATGGAAGTTCTTTTCATCCAGCTTTTGCGCAAACTTGAGCGAGAAGTGCAGGCGGCGAGAATCCTCCATTATCGGCGCCGGAGACGGCGTTTGTTCAGCCGAACTAGGCGAGACCATAGCGGAAGGCGGAGGCGATTGCGAAGCAGGCGAAGCCATGGATCGACTCAGCAGTCTGATACCATATTAGAAAAGAAGAATAGAGAAGAAGAGAGTATTCATCTATAACAGAATTCTGTTATTCTGTTTTTCTGATTTTTCAGTTAGTTACAAAAAGGCTCCTTGATGCTTTATATACAGCATCAAGGATAACCTGCTATTACAGGTTAGGGCATACTGTTAACTTACAGTTGTCAGTCAAGAGAATAACAGTAAAGCTACTTATACATTCAATAAGATGAGTTAGGAAAATGGTGGTACATACATATGATAGCCGCAGTTGCTACCCTTATTAATGCCACTGAGTACCTGTTGAAAAAATACAAATATTTGGTACTAAAAAAAAAAGAAATATACAAAGAATGATGTAATAAGTGTGAGACATTTGAACAGTTGAAATGTTGCATAAAGTCCTATTCAATTTCTCTCTATAAACAGGAATACGCTTGAAATGTAATATATAAGTAATTGGGGGCAAAAGATGATAGAATAAAAAAGACCAGATCGGGTATTATAGGAAAGAGTGCTTTTGAAATTCCGAGAGAAGTGCAATCAGCGGGCGTTCCAGAAACGGCGAAGGAAGCGAGGGTTCCGTGAATGTGTACTTGTTTGGCAGCTATAGGATGAAGCCATGTGATGCTGTGGCTAACAGCTGATTTCTCGCTGCAACAAACTTCCACCTGATTAGTATTTGCGATTGATAAATTAATTATGAACGAAGGGAATCGATTACCTATCGGGAGCAGATACAAGGATATTGAAAAGATTAGTGTTGACTAATGAGTCAACTAAAGCTCTTAATCCGGGAGCGTCGATCCCGTCGTCGTTTGTTATCAGAATCGTTCCTCGCTTACCATCTTCCATCTCCAACGTCTTAATGTGCTACTACCTATGCAATTTCGCTACCAGTATTAAAATTCGTCTGCGTGTTTTTTTTTTTTTATATTATATTATATACTTATTTTATTAGTAATACCTAATAATCTATCTATACTAACAATTATTTATGATACCTATATAGTACGAAAGCCAAACTTTTTCAAACCTAGGGTGAACAAGTAAACGCCATCAACATTCTACCATATTAAACCTCTCTCCAGAGATACTTCTTATTCAATTACTTCTATCGGTATCAATTTTGTGTTAAGCTTCACTGAGTACACGCCAACTGTTTGATGCTTTGCTTCTGTGAGCATTGTTCACATTTTAGTCTGCAAAAAGCATTATTACAGCTGCTTGTACTCATAATGTTGTCCATGCTTGCAAGAAAGGCCGCTTCCATACACAATCAACGTTTCATAGTGAAGTTGAGTGCATTCAATTTATGCTGCAACTCTCTCACTACCGTTCCCAATAAGGATGATGGTGCTTCTGCCAGAACACTATCCGACCCACCTTCTGAGTATAATTCTAGTAGCAGCCTTCATCTTTCGCCGTTTTTGTCCAACTTCAATCACCCCTCGAGTGGATTTGACATTGAGCTTGTCGACCATGATGCTTGGGGGGTCTCGTCTGTGGTGGCACAAGCCTGGCGACAAGGGGATTTGCCTGCATCAGAAGATATTTCTTGTGGTCAGCATGTCATTGATGAATCCCTTGATTCTCATTCCGCGGATGTTGATGGTGAACTTGATTTTGAAGACATAGACAACATGAGAGTTCGTGGCAGTCTGTTCTATAAGCTAGAGCGTAGTTCCATGGAGTTTGAAGAGTATAATCTTGAGTTTCACAAGAAGAAATCATCCAAGAAGAAAAACAACAAGACTGACTTAATCAACAAAGCTAAAGAAGCTAAAGCTAAAACAAAACCAAATGTGACTTCCAAGGATCAGAAGCTTCCCGGAGTTAATGATTTTGGAAGAAACGGTAAAAGTGTTATGCCCCGGATGGACAATGTGACTTCCAAGGATCAAAAGCTTCCCAAAGTTAATGAATTTGGAAGAAACAGTAAAAGTGTTATGCCCCGGATGGACGAAATCAGTGACGTGTCTCCTGTGAACAAGAGACAGAGGGTTCCCACTTTTAACCAGCTTACAGGTCCTTATCATGAACCATTTTGCTTGGACATTTATATATCGAAAGCCTCTGTTCGCGCCTGCATTGTTCATAGGGTCACTAGCAAGGTGGTTGTTGTGGCACATTCCATTTCTAAGGATCTCAAGTTTGATCTGACTTCAACCAAGAATAAAACCACATGTGCTGCTGTGGGGAAAATTCTGGCTCAAAGAGCATTGGCTGATGATATTCATGATATTATTTACACTCCAAGGAAAGGAGAAAGGGTGGAGGGAAAGCTTCAGATTGTTCTTAATTCCATCATTGACAGTGGCATTAATGTGAAGTTAAAGATTAAACAGCGAAACAAGAAGAAGTCTTTCAGCTCACATTTTAACTAGCCGGGCCATTCTTGTTCGATGGGAATTGTAAACTGTATTAGCCATGGTTATATGATGATGATGTATCTGAAGGAATGAACTATTTACATTTTCAAACATGGAATGATAAATGGATTTTGTTATTTAAGGCTACTAGAGGGGTAAGATTTTAAAGTACATTTTGCAATTGCCAACTTGTACCATTTTAGATTCCACCATCGTAGAATGTGCATAAGGTTTAATATTTGATAAATTTTGTATGAGATGAATGATCATGTATTCACATCTAGTAAATTATGTTATAATATCTATTTTGATTTGAATCAAATGCTATGAAGCACTATCACAACCGAAACACGCCATTAATCGGAAGTGCCGATGCTACAAATGTCCGATCTCATGATGCATCAATAAAAAAAGCTACATAATTGAAGTAATTTAACATAGCAGAAAACAGTATCAGTTATTATAAGAAAAAACAAAAGACTCAATTCCATTGATTTCTGACAATTACATTCAAAACTGAAAACAAGATTAGTCATTAGCTGTAGCTAACTGCATTGAGAGTAGCTCATCCTCTGGTATAACCCTAATATGACAATCAGAACGAGGGTAAGAGGCACACAAAAGTGCATAACCACGTTCCACAACATCATCACTGAGCATTCCATCACTCTGATCAACTTTGCCACTGATAAGACGAGCAGGACAAGTCATGCAAACTCCAAGCTTACAATCATGAGGAACAGACAAACCAGAATCCAATGCTTTTGACAGTATGGTCTCATCAGGTTCAACTTCAAGCTGTGTAGACTTGCCATCATGCTCAATAACCACTTTATAAGAAGACCTTACAGTGAATGTGAGTGATGGTGATTTCTTATTTGTGTTGAACTGAGAAGAAGATGGAAACTTAGTTGTGGGGTGCTTCTGTTTGAGAAGAGTTAAAGGTGTAAATTGAAGGGTTGCCAT